GCTTTACCTGGGTAGACATTTTGAGAAACCTCCATTCATGTGTCTTCGAAGAAATTCCAAAGCTTAAGGATATCAGACACGAGGGATTTGGAGTTAATGAGACCGCTTTTTAAAGCGGATAAAGGAATGATTAAATTATCCTATTACAGCTTCTAAGCTTGGTTTATTCTGAACTTCTGCTTTGCTCTCAGTGATCACTCTGACTGAGTTGAACAGAGCCCTTTTCGATCGCATCGACAAGTTGTGGAAGGAGGCGCAGCGCCTACTTAAACCATCGGGCAACAGTCAGGAGTATCCCGCTCCCAGCTGCAAAGACATCAAATTGAACAACAAATTTGCTCGTAATGACACGTAAGTCGACTGCCCTCGAAGTTACTCAGGTCTCAAGTAGATTGGATTTTGAGCAAAGGCAATTAGGGTTAAAGCAAAGATGAGTAGCGCCATAAGTCGGTTTCACTTGGATCTGAGTCAGTCGAGAAGTACTGTGCAAAGACTCTTGGTTTACTTCCTTTCAGTTTCGGAAGTCATATGCGCCTTCTGCCTTGATCCTTCATAATTTACTGCCGTATTCAGGTCAAGGACTGGCAAATTTTTAAATGCGACTCTAGTAAAAATTGTGCGCTGACTCATTTTACTCTCATTTTTGCCCATCGTTAGCCCACGGTATTGCGCCCCCTAAATAAAGGACGAAACGCGTATACTACTGGAAGTTTTACTTAGTAGCATTCTTTTTTAGTTATTGGATCGATCCCAACGGTGGCTCACCTTCAGACGCCGTTAGGGCTGAATGCATCTTCCATGACGATGGTTCAGTTGAAACATGCCTCTCTACTGGTGTTGCATCAGTAAGACTGATTTCTTTCAAGCTCTATTCTAAGCTTCGATTTCGTTTCACAGCGCATTAGTAAAGTTGCTTTACACCTTCCAAAAGAATTTTTAGGCATATCAACACTAGAATTGTATTCCCGATCTAACACTTTCCAGTCGATTTTAGGAGAATCTGGCGACCTACAAGCAACCACGTTCCAGCGATCCCGACTACTGGCAAAGTCACCTACTTGTTGAAAACGCTGTTAGTCCACCGGATGTAGGTTTTGATTTTCAGTCATTGTACACATCTGCTACTTCCTACCTCAAAGCAACAATCATTTATTCTCAAAATTAGCTCCACGACCAAAGCCCACACACTCAAATGAACTTGTTGCGTAGCCAACACCGCTTCGCCACACAAGAACTCGAATTTTTCTGTGAGGGCACCACCATCTTTGGCGGCGATATGAATTGGGAGACCGGTGTGGTCGACACGTCCAAGGCCACATCATTGCTGGCTCACAATGGTCGAGTTATTGACCTGACCAAGGGCATACGCCACGGTCCTAGTGCAAATTATGTGGAAAAGATCGATTTCGAAAGCCCTATCCGTAAACACGATGTTAGCATTGCTGTTGAGTACGATGGCTGTAGGGTGAGTCGAATACTACTCATTACAATGTAAGTAGAGTAGTCAATTAAATCGTGATATTTCGTCTCTTTAGCATCGTCAACCTGGAACCTCCACCAAAATGCGCATTGAGACCCGGGATACTCAACTGCTTCCAATCATAGATTTCACCGTAAAGGACTTTGACCATACAGGTAGAAGCACCCTGAGTCTAGCGGTCAAGGCCGTCTGTTTCAAGAACTAATAGATAGTAATTTTCACTCAACCATCACCACCAGCATCATCCCTAGGCGCATAGTCACTAACGCCGCTTCGCCATGGAACAGAATCAACGTCAATAACGACACATTTCTACGCACTCCTCTCTTGATCCTCCTTCACTTTGCCTCTACCCTCCCCACTACCTTTCTCCATCTCTCTCTCTCGCCCTGTCCCTCTTCTGTCCCCTGTGCTAACTTTTCCAAGTTGATTATTTTGTGGGAGATTTGTGTTGAGAAATCGTTGTGCGACCTGTGGCTTTGGGTTGTAAGAATATGCCTTCGTGAAATTCCTGTCTGATACATGCGTATTGCTTTTTTGGGTGGGTAAATTACTAATTTTTAAAAGTCGACTCACTTTTTCAGAAGTGAAGAAAAAGGGGTAGTCGGACTAAGGGATTGTGATAGTTGAATGTTTTACTGATTAAAAGGCCACCTAAAATGTGCTTTCATTGAGAGGTAGGTTGGTTAATAGGCTTTAACTGAATCAGTGGTTTGT